AGGTGAGAAGTTCTGAGCTGATCCGATAACTGTTTTTTTTCCAGAGAGAACAACCCGACGGTGTCCGAGGTTCTGCAGCAGGTGGTCCTGCTTCCGGAGAACGTCCACATAGCTGTGCGCTACACCAGCATCGAGCTGGTTGGAGAGATGAGCGAGGTGGTGGACCGGAACCCCAGATTCCTGGGTAGGGCGGTCCTCCCGGTCGATGTGTGGAAACCCGGCGGACCTCCCCCTGAAGCTAATCCCACTGTCTTCCTCCCGCTGCAGACCCGGTGCTGAACTACCTGATGAAGGGGCTCAGAGAGAAGCCTCTGGCATCAGCGGCGGCCAAGGCCATCCACAACATCTGCTCCGTGTGCCGGGATCACATGGCTCAGCACTTCCAGGGTCTGCTGGAGATCGCTCGCTCTCTGGACTCCTTCGCACTGTCCACCGAGGCTGCGGTCGGACTCCTCAAAGGTAGGGGGCGTCTGCCATCTGCGCTGCGGAGGCTTTGGTTGGTTGTTCAGGTCTGAAGCATCTCTGTCCTTCCTTCTGATTGGCCGCTGGGTCCCCTCTGCAGGTACGGCGCTGGTCCTGGCCCGGCTGCCTCTGGAGAAGATAGCAGAATGTCTCAGCGACCTGTGTGCTGTTCAGGTTCTGGCACTGAAGAAGGTGAGCGTGTGTTTAGGTCTCTGTGGGTGGGAGCTGTGGGAACCGTTCTGACCGAACTCTGTCCTTCCAGCTTCTGGCGGAACAATCTACGAACGGGAAGTCTGCGGATCCCACGGTGTGGCTGGACAGGCTGGCCGTCATCTTCAGGTGAGTTTAGCTGCTGGGAAGTTTTACCACTGCGGCTGCAGACAGTGAACGCATTGTGCTGCTCCCTCCTCAGACACACCAACCCCATCGTGGAGAACGGACAGACCCATCCGTGTCAGAAAGTCATCCAGGAGGTAAATCCCCTGAACTCACCTGAGCTTTCCAGGAAAAGCAGCTTTAAATCTTAACGACTGGCCCCGCCTCTGCAGATCTGGCCGGTTTTGTCGGAGACGCTTAACGCTCACCAGGCGGACAACCGGATCGTGGAGCGCTGCTGCCGCTGCCTCCGCTTCGCCGTGCGCTGCGTCGGGAAAGGCTCCGCCTCCCTGCTGCAGCCGCTTGTCACTCAGGTAATGTCCGCCTCCGGTATCTTGAGCCGTTGCTCAATCTGTGTACTTGTGCGTTCTCGTGTACTCATGAAACGCCATCAGCCTCAGCCCTAGTACTGTTGCAATTTACAAGAACAGCAGAGAAAGGACAGTCTCTGGATGTTTTTCTTGCCCCTCCCCTTTTACCCAGCATGCATCAGAGCAGACTTGTCTGTTCTTGAGATTGACAGCTGTCCCAGCATGCACTGCAGCAGCAGCTTTCGATGGAGCGCTCACAGAGCGCAGAGTATAAAGTAAAAGGTTTTTTTTACTCTTTTCTGTTGCTGTTGTTCAATAAAAGTACGTTTTAAGGTCATTTGAGGCGAGAATATTATACTTTAAAGCATCACTAAATGGCCTATTTATTGATTTAGTGCGTAATTTAAAAAAAACATTTCCGAAGTTGAGAGGTACGTGGGAACCAGCGGACCTCCGAGGCTAACGGCAGCCAGGGCTAACGTTAGCCGGTCTGCAGAAGCCCTCTCTCTGCATACACGTGTTTTTTTTGTTTTATTTGGCTAAATGTTCATTTGATTTGTGTTTATCTGACTGTTAACTATTTTCCCCCCACTAAATGGAAAAAGTAATAATTTATTATTATCTAGAGACTATTAACCCATTTAGGCCTAAAACGCCTGGAAAAAACACCTTAAAAACCTATGGCCGATTTTAAAAAATACCCCTAAAACCTGAAGTTTTTCTGTAAATTCAGCAACTGTGTCAACGCCTAGTAAATTATTGATATCTCAGCTTCTGTAGCAGATAGAACTCAAAATATATTTTATCTTTGAAATTCTTCCAAAAAAAAAAAAAAGTGAAAAGCAGTAATCAAAAAAAAAAAAAAAAAATTCAACCTTTTATTTTTTCCATATGTGATCATGTCTTCATTGAGAATGTGCAATATAAAACGTTTTTAAAATAAAGAACAAACATTACATAAATAACTATCTGATGATTACTTATTAACAGTATTATTATGCATAATAATGCATATGTCTGTGTTATAAATTGCATACACTTACCTCCAGATGGCCACAAATCTGTCCCGGGACATATTTTGGGGGAACTGCGTCCGGAAGAGAGGTTTACTCTGTCGCCAATAATCTCTTCGTACTGGCAACACAAGAAGTCCCATGCCCATACACAGCCCAATAAATGTCTTCATCTCCGTCACAGTCACGGGTGACCACTTTGCCATCTTTGCTCTTGTTGGAGTTTGGTTTGTTTGGTCACTGTACCTATTCGTCTCGGTAACAAGATGCATCCAAAGTTCTTCATTAAAAATATGCTCAAATGCCTGCAGCGGTGTGGCGTCTGCAGGCAAATCAACTTTCACTCCAGGTGTGCGGTTGAAAACACTCCGTGCATTGCGGTGGTAGTTCGATTGGTTCAGCGCGTTCAAAGTCATCATTTTCATCTATACCGTCATCAAAGCCGACACACTCCTCAAAATCACTGCCTTCCGACAACTCTTCTCTGTCAAACTCCTCCATGTTTGCTTGAAAAGAACTTCTTTCTTCTTGCTTGACTTATATGCTCTCCCGGCGTCAATGGTAGAATTACGCAACAGCGCCCCCGGCTTGAATGGTAGAAATGCGGTAATGCTTTCCCGGCCTAAATGGGTTATTAACAGGGGGTAAAATGCAGCTCAATACGAGCCGAGCATGTGGTGATGTCATCAGTACTTCTGTTCCAATGGACCCATATTTATGCTGCGTGCTCCCGTTCCTCCAGAGTTCACACTTCCCTGTGTTTTTCTTGAGAACATACTTGATGAGAACAAAAGTCGCATGCTTGTGATCTGGGAAATGGCTTTGATCTGGCGACAGCCGTTACCAGGGAAACACTGACTTTTTTTTTTGTCTCCATCAGATGGTGAGCGTGTACCAGGTGTATCCCCACTCCTGCTTCCTGTACCTGGGCAGCATCCTGGTGGACGAGTACGGCATGGAGGAGGGCTGCAGGCAGGGGCTGCTGGACATGCTGCAGGTAAACGCCCACCTGTCCACACCTGAGACCACGCCCAGCAGACCCCATCAGCTCACCTAGCTACTCTTTATCCCGCAGGCTCTCTGCATGCCCACCTTCCAACTGCTGGAGCAGCCCAACAGCCTGAGGAACCACCCCGACACCGTGGACGACCTGTTCAGACTAGCCACCAGGTGAGCAGAGCTTCCTGCTGGACAGCAGGTCCCGTATGGAGAGCATTTTACTCCATTATTGTTGCAAAGAATGCTTTTCATGAATGGAAATTTAGATAAAAAATAAGTATAAAAAAAAAGCTAAATCTACAACTGAAACTTTGAAAAAGTTCTTAATAAAAACAGCTTTTGAGAGTAACTTTGCTGTTTTCTCAGATTTATTTTATTTTTGCACATTTCTGTTTCAGGTTGTACTTGAAATAAAGATGATCTGGTCGCAAAAAATGCAATTTGTGAAACAATCTGAAAAAGAGGAATTTGGGAAAACATAAAATAAAATTGATTAAAAAAAGAAAAATAATAATAAATGGATTTCACTCCCAGGTTGCATTCTTGCATTTACAAATCATGTTCTTTAAAAACAACTGTGGAGCAAAATTCCCTCCATATTTCTGCCTCAAATATTCTTCTGGTGTCTTTGCGTCCAGATTTGTCCAGAGGAGTCCCGTCACGCTGCTAGGCAGCACCATCATCGTCCACATCATCCAGTGCGCCATCGCCGCCGCGTCCCTCGACCACCGGGACGCCAACTGCAGCGTGATGAAGTTCATCCGAGACCTGGTCCACACCGGAGTCGGCAACGATGTGAGTCCCCCCCGCCGGTTCATTTTGACATGCAACATAGATGTTGGTGATGGACTGGAACCGGTTTAATCTGGTTCAAAGGCAGACTCTAGGTGTTTTGATTTAACCCCGTGTGTGTATGGGGGGGTGTGTGCAGCACGAGGAGGACTTTGAGTTGAGGAAGCGTCTGATTGGTCAGGCCATGGAGCAGAACGGCCAGCAGCTCATTAACCAGCTGCTACACTCCTGCTGTTTCTGCCTGCCGCCGTACACGCTGCCGGATGTGGCCGAGGTTCTGTGGGAGATCATGCTGTTCGACCGACCCGTGAGTCCCCCCGCAGGCCGAGTCAGGGTCCGCTCCGTCGGTTCTGGAGCCAGCCCTTCATCTCTGCTCCTTTCCGTTGCAGATGTTCTGCCGCTGGCTGGAAAATGCTCTGAAAGGCTTACCGAAGGAGACGGCGGGAGGAGCCGTGACCGTCACCCACAAACAGCTGACGGACTTCCACAAACAGGTGACCAGGTGAGTTCTAAGAGCGCGGCACAGAACCCACACATCTCTGAGATCAGACAGCCTCAGGTCCTCATCGGTCACACACCAACAGCTGCTGCCACTTCCTGTCGCTTCTGTGGTTGCCATGTCGACACAGTGAGCTGCTGAAGCCATTAGTGAACAATTCACTATTGGTTCAAAATGAGTGCTGGACCGGTTGGATCTCCCAGCTTAGAAGAGATCCTGCTGGTTCTGATCCAAACAGAGGAGCTCAGCAGTGACTAATCAATGAGGCGTTCAGGGACTGTCAAAGCCTGAAGCTTCACTTTTCTAGTTGAGACTCGTCTTTCCGAAGGTGGGCGGCTGAAAGACTGAAGCTCAGAGGCGGCGAGTCCAGACCCGTCCTGGTAGCAGAGCTGCAGCAGGAAACACCTGACTCATTCACTTGATAAAACCCACTCATCCTGCAGGAACCTGAAGGGCCGCTCTGCTTCTCTTTCAGTGCCGAGGAGTGCAAACAGGTGTGCTGGGCCATCCGAGAGTTCACCAGACTGTACCGATAGCTGCGACCTTCTCATGACACCAGGTAACCTTCCACACCGGAAACTTGTCTAAGCTGCAGCTTTAAGCCTTGGCTTAGAAAACTGGAACCCAGGTTTACTTTCTACAGACTGTTAGAAGCGGAGACCCTTTCTACAGACCATTAGGCGGCGTTGGTAACCCTTTCTAGATGGCATTGAGAGGAGGCAGTAGCCCTTTCTGTAGATCGTTAGGAAGCGGAAACCCCTTTATACAAGCCTTTAGGCGGCAGCGGTAACCCTGTCTACAGGTCTTTAGGTGGCGGTGGTAACCCTTTCTACAGGCCGTTGGGAGGAGGCGGTAGCCGTTTTTACAGGCCGTTGGGAGGAGGCGGTAGCCCTTTCTACAGGCCTTTAGGCGGCGGCAGTATCCCTTTCTAGAGACAGTTAGGCGATGCAGGTAAACCTTTCTACATGCCGTTGAGAGGAGACTTCCTACGGGCCTTTAGGCGGCGGCGCTAACCCTTCCTACGGGTCTTTAGGCGGCGGCGCTAACCCTTCCTACGGGCCTTTAGGCAGCGGAGGTAACCCTTCCTACGGGCCTTTAGGCGGCGGCGCTAACCCTTCCTACGGGCCTTTAGGCGGCGGAGGTAACCCTTCCTACCGGCCTTTAGGCGGCGGCGCTAACCCTTCCTACGGGCCTTTAGGCGGCGGAGGCAACCCTTCCTACCGGCCTTTAGGCGGCGGCGCTAACCCTTCCTACGGGCCTTTAGGCGGCGGAGGCAACCCTTCCTACGGGCCTTTAGGCAGCGGAGGCAACCCTTCCTACCGGCCTTTAGGCGGCGGCGCTAACCCTTCCTACGGGCCTTTAGGCGGCGGAGGCAACCCTTCCTACGGGCCTTTAGGCAGCGGAGGCAACCCTTCCTACAGTCCTTTAGGCGGCGGCGCTAACCCTTCCTACGAGCCTTTAGGCGGCGGCGCTAACCCTTCCTACAGTCCTTTAGGCAGCGGAGGTAACCCTTCCTACAGTCCTTTAGGCAGCGGAGGTAACCCTTCCTACGGGTCTTTAGGCAGCGGAGGTAACCCTTCCTACGAGCCTTTAGGCGGCGGCGCTAACCCTTCCTACAGGCCTTTAGGCAGCGGAGGTAACCCTTCCTACAGTCCTTTAGGCAGCGGAGGTAACCCTTCCTACGGGCCTTTAGGCAGCGGAGGTAACCCTTCCTACGAGCCTTTAGGCAGCGGAGGTAACCCTTCCTACGGGCCTTTAGGCAGCGGAGGTAACCCTTCCTACGGGCCTTTAGGCGGCGGCGCTAACCCTTCCTACGGGCCTTTAGGCAGCGGAGGTAACCCTTCCTACGGGCCTTTAGGCAGCGGAGGTAACCCTTCCTACGGGCCTTTAGGCGGCGGCGCTAACCCTTCCTACGGGCCTTTAGGCAGCGGCGCTAACCCTTCCTACGGGCCTTTAGGCGGCGGAGGTAACCCTTCCTACGGGCCTTTAGGCAGCGGAGGTAACCCTTCCTACAGGCCTTTAGGCGGCGGCGCTAACCCTTCCTACGGGTCTTTAGGCAGCGGAGGTAACCCTTCCTACGGGCCTTTAGGCGGCGGAGGTAACCCTTCCTACGGGCCTTTAGGCGGCGGAGGTAACCCTTCCTACGGGCCTTTAGGCAGCGGAGGTAACCCTTCCTACGGGCCTTTAGGCGGCGGCGGTAACCCTTCCTACGGGCCTTTAGGCGGCGGCGGTAACCCTTCCTACGGGCCTTTAGGCGGCGGCGGTAACCCTTCCTACGGGCCTTTAGGCGGCGGCGGTAACCCTTCCTACGGGCCTTTAGGCGGCGGCGGTAACCCTTCCTACGGGCCTTTAGGCGGCGGAGGTAACCCTTCCTACGGGCCTTTAGGCGGCGGCGGTAACCCTTCCTACGGGCCTTTAGGCGGCGGCGGTAACCCTTTCTACGGCCCTTTAGGCGGCGGCGGTAACCCTTCCTACGGGCCTTTAGGCAGCGGAGGTAACCCTTTCTACAGCCCTTAAGGTGGCAGCAGTTACCCTTTCTACAGGCCATTGGGAGGAGGCAGTAACCCTTTCTTCCCTTTAGTTTTCACTGGTCTGATACAGACCTCAGTAGGATCATAAAGGTTTATTCCCAGTGATCTGGTATTTCATCCCTTTATGTTGGAGGAATTAATTTTGAAGGCAGGAATCCAGCTTTTCTGTTCTCAGTAGTTCAGAGGTTTAAAGCAGAGAAATCCAGCTGTGTTGCTGGATGGAAGTTGAATGGCTTGTAGCACAGGTAGAAATGGGCAGCTGCTCACCTGGACTAAATCTTTATTTATTTTTTTTCTCTTCAGGTTAAATCTTTAGTTGACCAACATTCAGAGGTGACGGCAAAAAGCTGCGACTGCAGACCATGAGGAAGACGGAGAGACTTTGAATGTGAAACAGGACTCTGTAACCTGACGGAGTACGGACTGATGAGACAGACGGAGCCCACCCCCAGCTCACCTGAGCCAGCCTCACCCACAGCAGGCGGTTCTGGGTGGGCGGGGTCAGGTCTCGAGGAAGGGTGCCCATCGGTTCCTGCTGGATCCTCAGTGGCGATTAATCAGGACGTGCCTGCTAAACTGTTTTTAAGAGATTTATTTTTGGGACTTTGGTCAAGATGTTTTTGTCTGTGCCAAAAAACAGAGCCAAAAAAATTCCCATGATGCTGTGGGCTGAGTGGCGTAACGCTGGAGGATTTGGCGTCACCTTTGACCTTTTATCTTTTGGTTTATTTTAGTTTTTTTCCATATATGGAAATGGAGAGGACTGTGGGTAATGAGGCAGACTGGCACCATGACATCAGTGGTGATGTAGCCTTGCTGATAATAAAAACAGCTGAAATGAAGCCGTGTTTCCATTTTTTTTCCTAAAGCGAAACGTAAACTTGGTCCAGTTTAACCGTCGGGGAGACTGCAGGCGTACCTGAGCCCAGGTGCCTCAGTAACCCGACACCATAACAGGAAAGATGATGTCATTAGCTCTACACCTGCTGGGAGTTCTGGTTAAACTGGTTTCTGTTTGTTGTCACCTGGAACACTGGTTCCAGAAATCAACACTCAGACGTCGGGTTTGTCCTCTGGGGAGAAAAATGTTGGGAATCGCCCTTTATTTAATCAAAGTAGAAAAAATAATTTTATGGTTAAAATTACAAAGAACATTGAAAAATACAACCAGCTTTAATACAGAATATTTGGCAGTCTGTAGTTCTGATGGACCGGAGCAGAACCGTCTGACCGAATGTCTGCCGGAACCCAACGATCCATGTTTCTCCTCCGGACTTCAGCTGCTCTTCTCTCACCTTCGGCCCGGTCCTGTAAGGTTCTGGGTGGGTTTAGATGTGGTTCTGACATGCCATGCTTCCAGTACCTTCAATCTGTAGAGATCACCCAGGTTCTAACAGTTCTTTTATGACGGCGTTAAAGAAACCAGAACGGCCAAAAAAAAAAAAACACTGCCAGAAGTGGTTCTGAAAGACCAGAGCCAGAACTTTTCAGTCGCCTTGTTGGAGCTGAAATGCTGCGTCTGATCTCAGAACCAAACCAACCAGAACCTGTTACTGGTTCCCAACGACCTGGACTGGCAGCATTGCAGCTCAAACATAAAGCCTGGAATGAAAACGGTCCGGACCAGAAGTAAAACGCAGCTAAAGTACAACAGGAAAAAACAGAATTCTAGAAAGTTCTGGACCTTGACGTTTGGGTTAATAGTCTTAAGGAAATGTGAACCCATCCAAATCGGAACGAGGTAGGTGCTGGTTCTACAGCACTGAAACATCCGGGCTGTCGGGTCGGATCATGCATCATCGGACCCTTGAACTCCTGGTTCTGATCCAATGTTCATGAAATATTGAGGTTCTGCAGAATCGGATCAGCTTCGACCCGACCCTGGCATTAAGGGTCCTGAAGTCAACCCAGGTGGTTCTGGATCCGGCTGTTCAGCTGGTCCCCATTGAGAATCCACTGGGTCCGTTGTTCATGGAGGCTTCCAGGGAACCGGTTGGGGCCCAGGGCCCCTGGACCCCCAGCTGGTTCTGAAGGAGCCTTTGAAGTTCTTTAAACTGTTCCACCGTCTGGTCCTTCACGTCCGGGTTGGAAATCTGCAGCCGGATGCTGTCGGTGGACCAGTTCAGTTCTCCAGAGAACATCTCCGTCAGGATCCGCGCCACCACAGGAACCACCTGAAACCAGCAGAACCTTTAGAACCCACACCAGCGAGCCTGTAGGAAAGGGACACGTCGGTCCGACTCACCTGGACCATGATGAGCTTCTTCTCCTTCGGTTTCTTGTCTGGCCAGTCTTCTCCAAAGCAGAGGTTGACCTCGAACGGTGGCGGGTTCTGAGCCTCTCCCCTCTGGAACAGGATCAGCCCTGAGGAGCAGAAGAACCTTCCTGAAACGGCGCTGCTCACATGAAACCAAACGGCAGAGCTGGAGAACAAACCTTGCAAGAACTCGTTGAGACTGAACACTTTGATCCTCCTCTCCCTCTCCATGGGGTTTGGAGGTCCCTGTTCTGGCATTCCCGGCCCAGACCAGAACACCTTACACTGGCAGAGGCGGATGGCGTAAATGTCCTGCTGCTCGATCTCCAGGATCAGGCCTCTGTCCATCACGTCCAGGAGAGCATCTGTGTAGAACCGCTGCTTCTGGTTCTGGATTTCAGTAGTCCCTGGGAACAGAACCTGCTGCAGAGTGACGGGTCCAAACAGGTCCACCTGATCTGGGGAAGGTTCCAGGTGTCCGTAGTAGAGCCGGCAGCCCTGAGGGTTACTGACGGTTAGAGAGCCCATGGCTCGGCCCCGGTACAAGAACTTCAGGTCCAGATCTGTTACTGCGCCAAGAGAGAGAACACTTTGGTTAACGGTACCGTCTGTTCTACCAGAACATCTTAGAACCCAGTAACCCAAAGAGCTGTCACGTCCAGGTTGGACTTTTAACTAAGCAGATCTGGTTCAGCCAGCAGGGTCAAACCAACTGCTGCCGTACCGTCCTAAGTCCAGAACCACTGCTGATGGTTCTGTTTCTATTTAGTATTATGGGTTCTACTGGGTTCTATTCTGCAGATTGATGAAACCAGTTGGACTACAAAAAAATCGGAGGCATTTAACCTGAGCCAAAACAGAACCTCATGGTTTGGGAAGTAAGACGGAACATTTCTTAACCAGTACCGGTTAGTTTGGACCCGTTGTTGAGATATTGACCTCTGACGGAATCAGTCAGCTACTCTGAACCTTTTGGACCTCAGACTCACATGGGACGCTGCTCAGCAGGTCGTACTTGCAGGGTTGGTGGTTCTGCGGGTCCGGCTGGGTTTGGATGGACCCCATGTTGCTTGCTTCCATGGATTCGGGCTGGATACCAGAAACTGCAGCGGACAGCGAGTTCAGGTCCTGGAGTCCATTAGGAAGTCCTCCAGGCGGGCCGAAGCTCCCCGGATCCACCATGGTACCGCGGGGCTGCAGGTCAGAGGTCATGGGTAGGAGCGGCAAGGGGATCACCTGGGGAGATCCAAACGACCCGCTGGAGGACAGGCCGAAGGGGGGGAAGGTCGTAGGCTCGTTGATCCGAGGGTCTTTAGAGACAAAAGGTCAAACTGGGTCAACGGTACATCGGTTACCAAGGAAACGCCAATAAACACCCATCACTCACTGATGCTGAGGTCCATCAGGTTCGGCATCTGAAAAGATTCACACGTTTTCAGTTTATTCGGTGGGAAAATGGAGACTTACTGACTGTTCAGCCTTATCGTTTCCTCACCTCCTCATCCTCTTCCTCGGCTCCGTCTGAAACAGAACAATCAGGAATCAGATTCTGGGTTAAACCCCAAACAGAAGCTGGTCCAGGTGCGGCTCACCTGCGTTCCCAGGCACGTCGCACACCTCGTAGATTTTAAAGGGCTTGAGCGGCGTCTCCTTGGTTCCGTCGTACTTCAGCTGGAACTCCCGGCTCTTGTTGAGGGCGCAGCGCAGGTTGGCCTTCCACTTGGCCGGGTCCGGTTCGTCCACTCCCTCCTGGTACTTCCCCGTCTCCACAGCCCACGCCTGCAAGACGCAGCGGAGGAGGAAACATTTACAGCTGCCATATTCATGGGTCCCAGTGGATCAGAACTTCCTGTTCACAGAACCGGTTCCGCTCCTAATGGCTGAACAGTTGCCTGGGGCCCCAAGTTCCTGGGGGCCCCAAGTTCCTGGGGGCCCCATAAAACTCCTTTTACATGTTCACTATAGCTATGCTGGTGAAGATTCTCTGTCATCCAGGTTATAGTCATTCCAAAAAATGTTGGAAAAAACAATCCACTGGACTTTTCCAAGTTTGAAGACGTTTCTCATCTCATCCAGGAAGCTTTATCAATTCAAGATCAACTGAAAGGATTTCATTTGAATTGAAAAAGCTTCCTGGATGGGAAGCGAGATGTTTTTAGACTTCAAAATAAAGACCAGTGGACTATTTTTTTAAACTTTTTTGGAATTAATACAGCTATTCTTTATTTGTGCACATTAAATATGTTTTTGATAAAAAACTAAAAAAATATTTCCGCTAAAACACCATCAGAACACATATATTAAGTCTGTCTCAGCCCCCCCCTTCAGTGTCCACCATATTGGATCAGTCCATTTGCTGCACATGTTCAGAAAGGTCCAAACAGACAGCAGCAAACCATTTGAAAACAAACAATGAAAAGAGCAGTGTTGCAAACTTATCCCGTTTGCTGCTGTATTTAGCGACTTTTCAGACCCCTCTAGCACTTTTGTTTCTTAAAAGCGCCATATCTAGTGACTTTTTTCTGCTACTGGAGAATTCGGAGACAACATCTAAAAGCAGCGAACTCTGCTCTCCAGAGCAAGTAGATTGGTAACCCCGCCTCCTGCTCTCCTCTATCTTGTCTGCTGTCATGACTCATGCAGCTATTATTTCATCCAAATGAAAAATGGAGAACAAAGAAGCAGATCATGGCTTGTCTACAGTGAAAAGAAGGACTGGGTTATTTAGTTTTTGGAAACACAGGAAGGAGCAATCAGCTAAGTGAGCTTAGGCTACGTTCACAAAGCAGCCTGAAGTGATTCAAATCCCATTTTTTGGCCCATATTCAACCTGGATCTGATCTTTTCATGGCAGTCTGACCAACACAGATCCGATTTCTTCCAATCTGACCCAGGCCACTTGGCTATGTGGTCCTGGATCCGACACGAATCTGATCGTTTCAAATGCGACCTGTGTTTGAACGGCCAGGTCGCATTCATCCGACCTGAACGCCATTAATACCCGACATAGGTCACTATTCTGGGTCTTACTACGCAAAAGCAGAAAAAAAACAACAACCATGGCGGACAATGATGCGGAGGGCAGTATTTATGTTTAACCATATTGAAAAGATCGTGTTTTTATGGTTGGGAAAGAACTAGATGCACTCCAGCACTACCATCCATGTTTATTTCTCTAAACACAGAGCAGGCTGGCCTGTGATGTCATCGCATCCTCTACTGCACATGCAGGACACTTGGGTTGTATGACTGCAGTTCAGACAGGAGATCACATACAAGTCACATACAGGTGCTGGTCATAAAATTAGAATATCATGAAAAAGTAGATTGATTTCAGTAATTCCATTTAAAAAGTGAAACTTGTATATTATATTCATACATTACATACAAACTCATATATTTCAGATGTTTATTTTGTTTAATTTTGATGATTACAAATGACAACAAATGAAAATCTCAAATTCATCATATCAGAAAATTAAAATATTACTGAAGACCAATAAAAACAAAGGATTTATAGAAATGTTGGCCAACTGAAAAGTATGAACATGAAAACTATGAGCATGTACAGCACTCAGTATTTAGTTGGGCCTCCTTTGGCCTGTATTACTGCAGCAATGCGGCGTGGCATGGAGTCGATCAGTCTGTGGCACTGCTCAGGTGTTATGATAGCCCAGGTTGCTCTAATAGTGGCTTTTAGCTCTTCTGAATTGTTGGGTCTGGTGTATTGCATCTTCTTCTTCACAATACCCCATAGATTTTCTATGGGGTTAAGGTCAGGAGAGTTTGCTGGCCAATTAAGAACAGGGATACCATGGTCCTTCAACCAGGTACTGGTAGCTTTGGCACTGTGTGCAGGTGCCAAGTCCTGTTGGAAAATGAAATCTGCATCTCCAAAAAGTTGGTCAGCTGCAGGAAGCATGAAGTGCTCTAAAACTTCCTGGTATGTGGCTGCGTTGACCCTGGACCTCAGAAAACACAATGGACCAACACCAGCAGATGACATGGCACCCCAAACCATCACTGACTGTGGAAACTTTACACTGGACTTCAAGCAACGTGGATGAAGTGCCTCTCTTCTTTTCCTCCAGACTCTGGGACCTTGATTTCCAAAGGAAATGCAAAATTTACTTTCATCAGAGAACATGACTTTGGACCACTCACCAGCAGTCCAGTCCTGTTTCTCTTTAGCCCAGGCAAGACGCTTCTGACGCTGTCTGTGGTTCAAGAGTGGCTTGACACAAGGAATGCGACAGCAGAAACCCATGTCTTTCATACGTCTGTGTGTGGTGGTTCTTGAAGCACTCACTCCAGCTGCAGTCCACTCTTTGTGAATCTCCCCCACATTTTTGAATGGGTTTTGTTTCACAATCCTCTCCAGGGTGCGGTTATCTCTCTTGCTTGTACACTTTTTTCGACCACATCTTTTCCTTCCCTTCGCCTCTCTATTAATGTGCTTGGACACTGAGCTCTGTGAACAGCCAGCCTCTTTAGCGATGACCTTTTGTGTCTTGCCCTCCTTGTGCAAGGTGTCGATGGTCGTCTTTTGGACAACTGTCAAGTCAGCAGTCTTCCCCATGATTGTGTAGCCTATAGAACTAGACTGAAAGACCATTTAAAGGCTTTTGCAGGTGGTTTGAGTTAATTAGCTGATTAGAGTGTGGCACCAGGGGCCATCAATTTTGAACCTTTTCACAATATTCTAATTTTCTGATATGATGAATTTGAGATTTTCATTTGTTGTCATTTGTAATCATCAAAATTAAACAAAATAAACATCTGAAATATATGAGTTTGTATGTAATGTATGAATATAATATACAAGTTTCACTTTTTAAATGGAATTACTGAAATCAATCTACTTTTTCATGATATTCTAATTTTATGACCAGCACCTGTACATTTGGGAATGTGAACGGCAACGCAAAAAAATCGGATTTCACAAAAAAATCAGAATTGAGCATGAAAGTCGCGGAGTGAACGTAGCCAAAGTGATTGGAAAAAATCTTTCATTCCTTTAGAGACAGCATGAAAAGTCAGCTGAGTACAAAACATAGAGAGGAAAACAAGAAGAAAAGGGACAAGAAGAGAGGGACACAACCTAGAACAGATAATGGATGTCTATTCTATTACAATTTCTCTGTCTGCATACAGAGGTGTCAAGTAACAAAGTACAAATACTTCGTTACTGTACTTAAGTACACTTTTTAGCTATCTATACTTTGCTCCATTATTTATTTGTCTTCCTACTTCTGACTTCTACTCATATCATTTTAAACAAGTATCTGTACTTTCTATTCCTTACATTTTTAAAGCAAACGTTACTCGTTACTTTTGGCTTCGGTTTAATGTTTATAAATATTTATTTCCCGTCATGTGCTCCATCCAAAATACTTTTATATAAAGTATAAATACTTTTATACTTTAAGTAGTTTTTGGAGCACATACTTTTTCACTTTTACTTGAGTAAAGAGGTCAAGTTGATACTTCAACTTTTACCAGAGTGTTTTTAAATTGCAGTATCTATTCTTCTACTTAAGAAACAGATGTATGAACTTTTGGCAACACTGTTTGTATAATGGGTGTTTTTGTCTTCTCAAATCAGAGGGCCCCCTGCCTGTCTTTGCCCAGGGCCCCAAATTTCCTAAATCCGCCCCTGGGATTTTCCTCAGTCTGACAGAAAAGAGGAAGCTGAGAAGAGGAAGAGCAGCTCATGCTTTGCTTCACCAGAGAAAGCAGGGAAATGAAACCTCTCAGCAGAAGGAAGTCCAAACGGCTGAAGCAGAGTGAGACATCAGAACCAAAGCACTGGACACGTTTCCGGTCCTCGCGCCTCACTGCCCAGTTCCCCATTCTGGACTGTCAGCTGCGGTCCGCAGCAGCGCAGCGCAGGGTTCTGCTTTTCATCGGGACTCAAACCTTGAAGATGGTGTTCTCCTCCTCTGACACGGGCGTGTGGCGCGTGGCGTGTTTCCAGGGGATCTGGAAGAGCCGGTGCTCCGGGCTGAGCCACTGGAGACCCGCATACCTGCCGCTGTTCACCTGGGCCAGCAGCCAGGGCTTCAGGCGGATCCTGCGGGGATGGATGCTCATGGTCGGCCGGGCAGGCTGGAGGAGGGAACCAGATTCAAGTTTAGGACCGGCTCCGGAACTGAGCTGAAAGTCCTGCAGCAGATGGTTTGACAGAGACCAGCGCAGCTGGAGAACCGGTTCGGCGGTTCGTAGTCGGATGGACTCACCTGATCTCGGTTCCTGGTTCCGGTTCCGCGCTCTCAGTATAAAACAGTCACGCGCTCACTTCCCAAACTAACTACCAACAAACAAACTGGAGCTGAAATCGGTGCCGCCCGTCACAAAGTTCCACAGATCCGTTCAGCTCAAGTAAAGCGACACGACATCAAAGCAGCTTCCGGCTCATCTCCACCAGCCTTTCAAAATAAGAGCTCCCGTGTAGAGCAGGTGCGCCAAAGCGGCTCAATAATGAAAAGAACGATTGAGATGAATCTCCAGCTCGTTCCTCTTGTGGACTGATGCGGATCTTGTGACTTAAACCTGTGGCACATTTCACCAAAATTCCCTGGGGCTTTTATTTCGAAATGTTTTGGTTTGTGAGAGCGAAACTACAGGAAGAGCAAAGCAGCCCATAAATGCACGGTGGTGACACAGTGATGCTGTGGGCTGCTTGATGTCCTCTGGGACCAGAAGGTCGTGGATTTTTTAAGGAAGTCTCTGGAAACCGAAACCTTCATAGAAGACAATGACCCCAAGCTTTGCTCTCAGGCAACAAAGGCTTGGTTCTGAGGAGGTTCTAGAGAAAACCATGGTTACTAGGCAATTTCACATATTTCTTTACTTTTTTTTCTTTTTGCTTTGACAGTTTTAAAAGGACATCAGGATCAAAAAACCTAAGTTAAAGCTCAGTTGTATGACTTCCAGTGAAAAAGATATAGGAAACAAATGCGAAAACAAAACAATATTATTAAAATACTTGGAGGTTTTCTACATGTAGATTAAAATGGTTAAGTAATTTGTTTATCTAGTTGATTTGTTGTTGTTTTTACGTAGTTTTTCAATAGTATTCTAATATGTTTGAAGACGTTTTGCTTCCCATCCAAGAAACTTTTTCAATTTAAAATGTCAGAATTAGTTTTGAGTTCGAGGTTAAACGCTTGTTAAATTTGGATTAATGACTATAAGAAGTATTTCACATTTGCTCAGAAAGATGTCTTGATTGACATATTTCTGAGACAGTTTCCGGTTTCCCGTTTAAGAGGAAGTAGTAGTTCCCACATTCAGCCAGTAGGTGGCAGCAAATTACAATACATTAGGGTTTGGAAGCAAGGCCAGGAGAGCATCTGAACCATTGGAAGGGTTGATTCCGTAAACTAATTTAAATTAGTATTTTGAAATGAAAATACTCTTTTATTGAAAAAAAAAACAACAAAAAACCCCAATGACAATTAACTTTAAAGTTTATTCAGACAGCTCTTTTTGTTTGGGGTTCTCCATTCTGGTTTATAAATTCACCTTATTTTTGTTTCTGCTTCTTTGACAAATTTGCAGCTATTTTCATTCAACTGTATGTAATTTTTATTTGAAAACAAGATTACAATGTTGATATAACTTTTGATTTAATCTGTTTTTTATGATCAAATGCTTAAACTCCACTTAGTTCTTGTTTATCTTTTTGGTTCTAATGTTTTGTTTAATTTCTTTTAATGTGTTTTTTTCATATTCAATGTGTGTTGCTGATAGAAATCCTGAAAGCATCACAGGGAAGGTCAACAAAGCTCCTACCTGTTCAAATGACAGGAAAGCAGAGCTCCAGGTGTTTATTTAGTCCTACCTAAAATTAGGGTTAGAACTTTGGATCCAGCGTCATGATGATGGTGATGAAATGATGAAGAGCAGATTCTGGTTTCTGGAGTGAGAGAGAGTCATCCATCTGCTGAAATGAATCCTGCAGAGGATCCAGGAATCAGAACAAACCAAAGGACCCCTTCAACTTCTTATAGATGAACACTGGAGTGGTACCAGGACCAGTCCAGTTTTCTTAGTTATTCCTAGAGGTAATTAAACAAGAAGTTTTTCTTTTAATTGATGGTTATGTTTATTTACAGAACCATGATCTAATGCAGAGAAAAGAGAGAGAAAAAAATTCTATTTCTCTGAAAGATGGCGAGATTTAGTCCAGAAATAAGTTTTTATTTAAATGTTTCTCTGTTTAATCATTTTTGTATCTCCCTCACCAGCCCCGGTTCTTCTGCTCACGGCTCAACCCACTAATCTCTATTTATTCACTGGATGCTGATTGCCCAAAAAAAGTGAAGCCACCGGCCGCCATATTGGTACTCCTCACTCCCACAGAGACGCACAGCAAAAATGCCTACCTGTGTAGCATTTGGCTGCAAAACAAGCAGGTTGTCGGCTGTGGGAAGACAGTCAGTGGATTAACTAACCAAGAAAATCCACATATACAGGTGCTGGTCATAAAATTAGAATATCATGAAAAAGTAGATTGATTTCAGTAATTCCATTTAAAAAGTGAAACTTGTATATTATATTCATACATTACATACAAACTCATATATTTCAGATGTTTATTTTGTTTAATTTTGATGATTACAAATGACAACAAATGAAAATCTCAAATTCATCATATCAGAAAATTAGAATATTACTGAAGACCAATAAAAACAAAGGATTTATAGAAATGTTGGCCAACTGAAAAGTATGAACATGAAAAGTATGAGCATGTACAGCACTCAGTATTTAGTTGGGCCTCCTTTGGCCTGTATTACTGCAGCAATGCGGCGTGGCATGGAGTCGATCAGTCTGTGGCACTGCTCAGGTGTTATGATAGCCCAGGTTGCTCTAATAGTGGCTTTTAGCTCTTCTGAATTGTTGGGTCTGGTGTATTGCATCTTCTTCTTCACAATACCCCATAGATTTTCTATGGGGTTAAGGTCAGGAGAGTTTGCTGGCCAATTAAGAACAGGGATACCATGGTCCTTCAACCAGGTACTGGTAGCTTTGGCACTGTGTGCAGGTGCCAAGTCCTGTTGGAAAATGAAATCTGCATCTCCAAAAAGTTGGTCAGCTGCAGGAAGCATGAAGTGCTCTAAAACTTCCTGGTATGTGGCTGCGTTGACCCTGGACCTCAGAAAACACAATGGACCAACACCAGCAGATGACATGGCACCCCAAACCATCACTGACTGTGGAAACTTTACACTGGACTTCAAGCAACGTGGATGAAGTGCCTCTCTTCTTTTCCTCCAGACTCTGGGACCTTGATTTCCAAAGGAAATGCAAAATTTACTTTCATCAGAGAACATGACTTTGGACCACTCACCAGCAGTCCAGTCCTGTTTCTCTTTAGCCCAGGCAAGACGCTTCTGACGCTGTCTGTGGTTCAAGAGTGGCTTGACACAAGGAATGCGACAGCAGAAACCCATGTCTTTCATACGTCTGTGTGTGGTGGTTCTTGAAGCACTCACTCCAGCTGCAGTCCACTCTTTGTGAATCTCCCCCACATTTTTGAAGGGGTTTTGTTTCACAATCCTCTCCAGGGTGCGGTTATCTCTCTTGCTTGTACACTTTTTTCGACCACATCTTTTCCTTCCCTTCGCCTCTCTATTAATGTGCTTGGACACTGAGCTCTGTGAACAGCCAGCCTCTTTAGCGATGACCTTTTGTGTCTTGCCCTCCTTGTGCAAGGTGTCGATGGTCGTCTTTTGGACAACTGTCAAGTCAGCAGTCTTCCCCATGATTGTGTAGCCTATAGAACTAGACTGAAAGACCATTTAAAGGCTTTTGCAGGTGGTTTGAGTTAATTAGCTGATTAGAGTGTGGCACCAGGGGCCATCAATTTTGAACCTTTTCACAATATTCTAATTTTCTGATATGATGAATTTGAGATTTTCATTTGTTGTCATTTGTAATCATCAAAATTAAACAAAATAAACATCTGAAATATATGAGTTTGTATGTAATGTATGAATATAATATACAAGTTTCACTTTTTAAATGGAATTACTGAAATCAATCTACTTTTTCATGATATTCTAATTTTATGACCAGCACCTGTACACCGATATGTCCTATAGTACAGTATGTAGTGTAACATTAGTCTGACTATCTCTGACTGACTCGAAGATATTGACTGAGTTAGCCATCAACATTGTGTCTAACATTAGAAAATAGAAAGTAAATAGTCTTAAGTCCCCCTGAAAATAAGAGCTTTATCGTTGTTCGATGCTGTAGTTCTGATGAACATCAATATGTGCGCTTCTCAAGTTCTGATTAAAATGAAAAAGAAAGATCATATCTATCCAATCCCAAATAGAATTTAAAATCCTCCTCCTGGCCATTTAAGCCATATAAAGCCTTAAATGGCCAAGCTCCATCTGATATCAGAGATCTGATTGTTCCTTATGTTCCTAACAGAGCACTTCGCTCTCAATCTGCAGGTTTACTAGTGGTTCCTAGAATTTCTAAAAGTAGAATGGGAGGCAGATCTTTTAGTTATCAGGCTCCTCTCCTGTGGAACCAACTACCAGTTTTAGTCCGTGAGGCAGACACCCTGTCTACTTTTAAGGCTAGGCTTAAAGCTTTCCTTTTAGATAAAGCTTATAGTTAGAGTGGCTCAGGTTATTCTGAGCTATCTCTATAGTTAGTCTGCCATAGGCTTAGACTGCTGGAGGACATAGGGACCCCTTTTTCATCATTCTGCTTCATTCTATCTCTATTCTCCCACTCTGCAGAATCTGTTAGTTCAATCTCTAACGTTCTGCTCTCTCTACTTTTTCTCATAGTAGCTTCATCTGGTCTGTTCCTGTTTGCCTGTGACTCCATCCTGGAGAGAAATATCAGCTGTGCTGCTGCCATCAACACCTTTGTTAATAGATGTTGGAGATAAGCCTGTTTTTCAGTGTAGTCCTGTTTCTCTGACTGTGACTAACTGGATGTTCTTTCTCCATCCTCTGACATGGGAACTGCTCGGATCTTGTCTGCCTGGCTGTGTGTTTCCTGGATGAGGCCGCCTTTTACAGGTGCCCTTTTCTATCTCTGCTTCTGTCTCCTTGAACCCCAGTCGGCCTCAGCAGATGGCCGCTCACACTGAGCCTGGTTCTGCTGGAGATTTCTTCCTGTTAAAAGGGAGTTTTTCCTCTCCACTGTCGCTACAAGCATGCTTAGTCTCAGGGATTGCATTTGAGTCAATGTGTCAATGCAATCAACTGGTTTTCCTTAGATAGAAAACTTTGAATCAATTCTACTTGATGATCTGCTGAACTGTAAAGTGTCTTGAGATGACATGCATTGTTAATTGGCGCTATAGACCGGTCTAACTAGGGAGTACCAATATGGCGGCCGGTGGCTTCACTCCACCCAGTACTACCAACGGGCAATCAGCAATCCATTGAATGAATAGAGATCAGTGGCACAACCAAGCTTATCTGGTTTCTCCCTCAGGCTGGTAACATCAGTTTGAAGGTCACAACGGGAGTTCAACAGGACCCCCTGGTGGTTGATCTACTCACTACTGGAGGTCAAAGTGTAAAAAATATTCCTGTTCTTGGTTCGCAAAAGGAGTTTTTCTTTTTAGCTGAACTCAAAAATATTTTTATTAGTAAATCATCTTTGAAAGGCATTTTTAAATTGAAATTACTAAAATAGAGTAATAATGACTTTAAATCTGTTAACCAATAATATGATGGATCCTTCAGTAGCTGCTGTTTAGTCTTAATCTGGGATTGGCTGGAATAATCTTTAGGTTTCCCGTGATAGGTCAGTCTGAATTTCCTCATCGCTGTCTGGTGTTCCACTGTGGATCTCCGTGGATTGACCTGTCGACGGCAGACCCACTGTGACATCAGGTGACCTCTCCCAGCTGTAAATTCCACCTTCAGGTTTCTCAATGACAACAAACAGATCCTTCTGGAAGCGGCAGCGCCTGGCTGGGTCACCGAGAGAGACGTCTGAGGATGATGTGGGTAGGTGAGGTCTGGACCTGCTGTCTGCTGCTGAGGAGGAGGAGGAGGGAGCTGGAGGAGGAAGAGACTGCCTCCGAGTGTACAGGCCCTGTCTGCCGTGGAAGCTGCCGGACTGCGAGGGAACCTGATGACCGAGAGATTCATCCATGAACACAGGAGACCCAGATCTCACCTAAAGAAGAACCAGAGAATCAGTCTGAAGGAACCAAATACAGATGATCATCAGTTTTAACCTTCTATGGTACCATGTTGTCCACTGTTCTGGCTCAAGCACAAACACAGAGCCCAAACCCAGCCTGTGACCAGTCTAAAAAAGTAAAAAAAACAATCCAATTGTCAAGAACAAGGGCGGTCATCCTCCTGCAGCAGTGTGTCGCAGTGAGATTGTCGCAAATGTTTTTGATTTATGTCCCATTTTGAAGCGTGGTCTGTGCTATGTTATTCCATGCCAAGAGGGCCAATCAGGAACTAGCTGTGGGTCTAGATTAGTGTTGCGCCGATGCCATTTTTTGGCCCCGATACCGATACCCGATACCTGGCTGTGCAGTATGGGCCGATACCGATACCATAATAATGTAAAATAATTGCCATCATGGCTTTGTCAAGCTGCTGCCTACCTTTGTGAAGCAGGACAAAATCTAATACAAAGTGAATCCAGTAGAACTTTTTATTGCCTACCTGGAATGGGTGACAATAGTTGAATAAACTTATGGCTCTCAAAATGGTATCGGTGCCCTATTTGTTGGTACTCGCCGATACCGATACCACCATTTTAGGGCAGTATCAGGGCCCCCTCCGATACTGGTATCGGTATCGGTGCAACACTAGTCTAGATACGGCCGAGGCGGTGAGGAAGTGGGGGCAAGTTTTTGCGACATGAGGGCGAAAAAGAGCGGAGATCCAGGTGGACAAAGGGTCCCAGCGTTCTCGCACACCTCACTTTTCTAGCTGGTCCAACTTCATGAGTCGTTTTCCGCTATGGTGGTCATACAAACAAAACAAGCTGGTCAGGAAATTCTCATCTCTGCATTAAACCCATCCTCTTAGGGAGCAGTGTGCTGCCATTGTTCGGCGCCCGCTGTGCAGTATGGGGTTATGGGTCTTCCTCAGGGACCCAAGATGGAGGTTGTGGGGATCGAACCGATACTTGCAACCTTCTCATAGCACAATCACAATGCTCTAACCCAGGGGTGTCAAACTGGTTTCAGAAAGGGCCGTGTGGCTGCAGGTTTTCTTTCCAACCAAGCAATAGCACACTAGACTCCATCCATCTCATCAAGTCATCATGTTAAGATTGGACTCACTTGATGAGATGGATGGAGTCTAGTGTGCTATTGCTTGGTTGGAAAGAAAACCTGCAGCCACACGGCCCTTTCTGAAACCAGTTTGACACCCCTGCTCTAACCACTAGACCAACTCTACCCCCTAACTCTTGTAACTCTAAGAACTGCTGTCTGAGGTCCCTACAGATTTACTTTCACTAGTGGAGCATTGCGGCTCTCCTCAAAGTTAAATCGTTCTCACAACTTACGTTGTGAGAACAACTCACGTACTTCAGATTTGATTCACCTTTTCAACCCCTTCTAATGCCAACAGGAGGAGGTTGAGAGGGCAATCTGGCAAACTGCCCTCTGGAAGCCGTTGTAGATGTTCTACAGATCCAGTAAGTTCAATTCCAGATCTGTTGCACTGGCATGTATTTTCCTCTAAATTTGTAAAGATAAAGGAGGATGAGTAAAGCACATGTGCCGCTGCGTAAAGAACTTTAGAGAAGATGAAGGTTCCCACATAATGAAAGGTTATGTGTTAAACATAAAGCCGATGTACAGTTAAAGCTTAGTCTGTCAGCAGGGGGCAGATATTTTTATCTGCTCTCTGAAAATGCAGCTGATCCTTCCCAGTTTTTCATCCCAAACTCAGCTGCTCTTTGCTCCCAGGTTAACAAAGCCATAGTCAAAGCATGCCAAAATAAACGATTCTTATCTGAGTAATGACAGCAGTAAAAACCTTTGGATGCTTTCCAACCGCGAGGCTGGGGAGGATGTTAGCTTCCTGCGGCCGTCTCCTCCTGACAAATCGAAGCAGGAGAAAAAGAAAGGCTGACAGAAACGTCAGCAAGATCAGTGCTGCGATTCCACCTGCCAGCCTGCTGTCCATGTCTCCAAACAACTGCTGCTCCTTGAACGCACCATGAGGAACTGAAACAAAGAAACAAAGATCATGTCAGTCAATGCATGACGACGAACCGAATGAAGATGGATTTTAAAGGAAAATCCAGTCACATTCAGAATACAGACTTCTGAAAGTACTTTAGATATGAAATTATTACATAATGTTCAATAAATGATCAGTGTTTTTAATTAGGGTAATTTTCATTTGAATGTACTTTACCGGAGGCATCCATGTTTGTCAAAAAATACTACTGCCACCTAGGGGTGTAAATAATAATCGTTTTGTATCGATGCATGGATCCAACAGGCGATGATCCAATGCATCGATACGTCGGCAAGAGTATTGATTCATGTTTTTTTTTCCTCTGGTCTATTTCTATCCATTTGCTCCTGGGCGTAATTCTCCCTCCCGTGCTGCGGTGGCGCTAAACCTTTTTTGCCCTCCTATCGTGCTTCCTGGTTTTACTCTTATAGCAGTGCCTTGCAGTGAGCTTGACACAGTAATTTTCGATTTATGCTCAATATTGAAGCGTGGTCTGCGCTACACACTGTGGGTCTAGATACAGCCGAGGTGGAGAGGAAGTGGGGGCGAGTTTAGTCTGACAACTGAGGGACATGAGGGCCAAAAAGAGCGGAGATCCAGGTGGGAAAAGGGTCCCAGCGTTCTCGCGCACCTCGCTCTTTTAGCAGGTCAAACTTCACGAGTCGTTTTCTGCAATTTTGGTGATAGAAACAAAACAAGCTGGCCTCCTGTCTGCGGCACTGTTTGCGGTCAGCTACAGTTTGGGAGAGGTGCAGCGGAGCATCTGTGGAGGGGGCGGGGACATCTGGAGCCGAGGTATTGCATTGCACTCATGGCACTGATTTTGTGCAGTATTTTTCATTGTTGTTTTAATAGGAATAGGTTGAGTGCAACTTTGAAAAAATGCATGACGATATTACAGCTTTCATTGATTTATTTCAAATTTGAAACATTGTCTAGCCTGTGAGGTGAAAAAAAAGAAAGAACCAATTAATCGAATCGAAACGTATCGTGGTGTATTTTTGAGTATCAAAAATAATCGACAGGAAATCGATACTGAATCGAATCGCCATGATGGATGTGATTTACACCCCTACTGCCACCTACTGGTTTGCAGAGATGGGAAGTAACGAAGTACAAATACTTCGTTACTGTACTCAAGTAGATTTCTCTGATATTTTTAGTTTACTTTACTACTTATTTTTATGGCGACTTTTTAATTCTACTCCTTACATTTTTACACAAATATCTGTACTTTCTACTCCTTACATTTTTAAAAATTGGCTCGTTACTTTAGTTTTGAATCATTTCAATGGAGTTACCGTTATTATTTTTCACGTCATCAATACCAAATTCAATCTAATTGGATGGGAATCTACGTTGCATTTGACGCACCACTACAAGATGAATCGACAGATTCGGCGGTATTCATTCGCGGCAAATCATTGCAGCTTGGTGGCGATGGCGTTAGCATAGTAGTATGGATGATGAGATTATTGAAAATGAACACAACGGAGATCTAGTCCTATTGGCAGACATCCATTTAAAATGTAGGCAACGGCATGAAAAAAGTGGTTTCTACTTTTACTTTTATACTTTAAGTAAATTTACAAGCATGTACTTTGTTACTTTTACTTGAGTAAAGAAGTTGAATCAGTACTTTCACTTTTACCAGAGTATTTTTTAACACAAGTATCTGTACTTTTACTCAAGTACGGAAAGTGAGTACTTTTGCCATCTCTGCTGGTTTGTGACATAACTGTGCTGTATCAGCTGTTGATCAAGTCCCACTGCTGTATCTGGTGTTTGTCACAACGTGCTTTTATCCATGATGCCGACGACAAGTGCACCACGTGAAGCAGAGTAACAGATTAATGTTGTGTTTTTTTCTCTGTCCAGAATGTCGATGGCAAATCCTCCCTTTTGAAGTTGGCAATCCAACGACGAACCCGTCAGTGGAGGATCAGGAATCGAAAACTCTTTCTTTTTTTTTTTCACTTTTCCCCGATGTATTCCAACATCCAGCTGCCATGCACGTGGGCATTGTCAGTTTCACTATAGCTCTGGTGAATTTCAATGGTGAAGTCCTCTGGAAATCTTCAATAATTGTTGTTGATTGCAGATGTGTCTAGTAGTTCCCATTGATTTAGCTTGTAAAGCGGGGAGAATGGTGCTAGGCTTACCGCACCGTGACGTCACTGCCAGAAGATATCAGGAGTGAGTTGTTACTATATTTGGGCAAAAATGGCCGCTCCCAGACAAGTAATATTTTTTTTATTTTTTTTACTGATTAACACCAAATACATTAAATCACCGGGGAACGTATTAGTTTTAGGCATTGATAATGATCTATTTATTAGTCCTTGCTGACAAGACTTTTCCTTTAACACAGGAACAGTGTTAGCCTTACAGACGTCATTACGCAATAGAAAAACACTAACTTGATGCTTTGGCCAAAGAGTCGTTACTGATTTGCACTATTCAGAAGCAGCCATTGTGACTAAAGGTGAATCCCTAACCGGCCCCTGAACACTAAACCTGAGCACATTTGCATGTTCCTGTAGAGGGTCCTCCACATTAAGGGCTGTCCCAAACCATGTAGTGGGTAGAGCCAGTGGACCTTCAGCCCTTAACTAGCGAGTTTGCATCAATGCAGGCTCGCTGGAATTTGGCAGCGGATGTAACAGCAAACTACTGGCGGAGGAAAACACATGATTTCAAATTTCAGTTTCGCTGGTTTGCTGCCTTTTCATCGCACTGATAGAAAATCGCAAGTTAGGAAAAAGAAAAATATGTTATTAATCCCTAAATGGAAGGTCCTGTTTAAAATGGTTTTATTTGACTAAATAGATTTATTTTTTAGAAAATGGAAAATGTTTAATGTTATGTTAACCGGCACCAGAAAGCAAGCACATGGAATTTCACTGTGTTGTCATACGAACAACTGCTTCCCTTTCCGTTGGAGAGAAGAGACTCTCCCATTCTCGTTTATACCCCCTACATACAATGCAGGGGCCTTCTAGAGCTGAATGTGAATTAAATGCAGTAACACTTGATAGTTAAGGGTAAATGTTTAGGGGTGGTTTGGGATTTGGCCTTACGGACGTTGGTTTCTCCCTGGTTTCTCCACGGATCTGCTCCTTGCCACTCCATCATTATGTCCAGTTCTGTCCAATATTTCAGTGCCTGAATTTACCTAATCTTTCCTCCTTTACCCTATCAAAGAACACATTTTTTCTCTCTAAAATGTTCTGACCTTATTACACCAAGGCACTAACAGAACGAGCTAAAGTCAATGAATGCACCACCGTATCTGTGTGTGCTTGTGGACACGTACACTTTGGGACACCCACGCTTCGTCCTCACCTGCCTGTCCTCGCTGCAGGACTTCAATGTCCACTGAGGCTGAAGCTTCCTCTCCTGATTCTTCATCCCTGGCAATAACCTGCAGAGACAACAATCTAAGAATTGTCCTGACATTGATTCAACATGTTTGATCTCTGATTAGCAGAAATTGTAAGCCCTCGGCAGGGCAAGGCAAAGAGAGTTTCTCTCTTATTTTATACACCGCCACTCATTCAAAAGGTTTTTTGAAGGGCATCAAACAAAATAGAATAATACAATATTGCAGAAACAAATATTAGAAACAGTTCATTAGTCGGCTTCTTTGTTTATTGGAACCAATAGTTTGTAAACATCCCAGGTTTTCAGGCAGTTTGTTCCAGATCTGAGAATCATAGCATCAAGTTCTGGTTCTGGGAAACTAAATGGGTCTCTGAAAAGCTGAGAGGTCTACGTGTGCTTTATGGACCCAAACAGAATTTTGAAGTTTTAGAAAGGTAGGGAGCTGATCTCTTCTCACATTAGGTCCACAATTTTGGATTGCTTGCCTTAGAAGGAGAAGGTTCTGATCTATTTGTCCATTAATAGGAAGGAGAAATTGAGCCATAAGTATAGAGGATGAGAAAAATGCAGTGATAAAGAGATATAAAGTAGAATATCATCAGCATATAGGGATCAAAAACATATGAAACAAGACTGACCTAAGAACTGAGGAACTCTATGTTTCATTTTAATTTGTCTAGATGTAATATAACCAAATAACACAAAGTAATCCCTGTTTATCAAACTAGATCTGGACCTGTTCAGTTCAGAACCAAAACATTTCAGGAGCTTCGGAGATGGAGACTGCTTTTCACACAAATCAACTTCTAGTTCCTTGGTTGTGAGCTGTTTCTGGCAAAGATCCATAATTAATCTTAGATGCTGTCAACAATAGAGCTGTGAGGGCCGTCCGATGCCATTTGTGGCTTTAATTTGTGTTGAATTAATAATATCAGATTATATAATTGCTTTGTTCTGACTGACTCCAGATTATAGACATGGAGACTTTCGCTGGAAATGTTCCAAAGCTTTGTTTTTTTTCTCCACAGGGGTTCATTATCCCTGCAGACAGAACTTTGCACCTTAATGCCATTAAAATTGTGATTAAAATTATCTGTAAGGTCACGAAGAAGCTGCGGATGGCCTGGGTGATGGAGAGGAGACCTTGCAGAGTTCTGAGAGTGAATCCAACCTACAACCAACACGTTTGCCATTTTGTTCTGTCTTGTCTTTAGAGATAAAAGCTTGCTGAGTTTACTGAAGGGTGGAGCTGAAGTGGATTCACACTGTGAAGCTTTTAGTCTTTATTTTTGGCTCCTGCTGGTTCTGCTGTCTGACACTCAGCTTCCACCTGATCTCCAGGAAACAGCCTGCCAACACATCTGAGGCGTCCAAACATCACAACTCTGTATTAGTCTGTTTAAACCAACTCACCTGCAGGAGGTGTCTGTCAAAGTGTCGCAGCTGGTCCGTTCTGGCGATTAGAACCCCCTCCTGGGTGACTTGGTACAGTTGAGACGGGGGATGAAGGTAGAAGCGGATGTTTGGATTCCGTCCCTGCTTTTTGAGAGTAGTGTTAAGTCAACAGGTGGGACTCTGTATGGTTGGGGCGGGGCAGGGAGTTTATGTTCTTACGTCAGGGAAGTCCCAGTCCATAACCTGGACCTGTAACACCTGGTTCCCATAAGTCGAGACGATTGAGGCAGGGCTTGAGCTCTGAATGATGAACCCTTTGAAGGTGGTTGTGTTAAAGAGAGGCGGGAAGGAGTTCGGACTGAGGACTCTGACAAAAGCCGTGGCCACGCTGTACTTTAACTCATCCTCTACCTGGGACACCTGGACAGAAGCAAGAGCACACTCATCAGAAAAACGTTGAGGACAATGGAACAGGACGAAGGAAGCCATGTTGCTACCATGATGGTGAGGGTGAAGTTCACTGCTGGTCGCCGGTCATCTACAGCTCTGGTTAACCTGATCTCACCTGTCCTGTTGTCTATAATAAACCTGCCGTGATCGTCACCTGGGGGTCGAATGCACATCTGGTCACACCTACTCACTGTTATGTTGAATTGATCTTCTTAGACCACTGCTGACCTGACAGGATTGTATATAGGAGAGGAGCGTTGATCCCCAAATCTCCATCCCTCGCTCTGATTGGACCAGGAGAAAACTCCAGAACCGTATCCTGAAAGGGAAAACAAACACACCTGGAGGCTGAGGTTCAGTTAACAGCTTAACAACAATAAGGATGTTGGTATGGACCCTTTATCCAAGTTCTCCTCTTCAGACTCAGAGTGAGCTCAAAGATGAGCTAATGTCTATCAATCTATCCATGTCCGTCCAGCCGTCTATCAGTCCATGTCTTATTTTTTTCTGTGATTTTGTTTACATAGAAGCACAATAAATTAAAAACTTTCCTTTTGGATTATCGTTAGAGTGGCTAAGGTTATCCTGAGTTATCTTCATAGTTATGCTGCTATAAGTTTAGACTGCTGGAGGACATAGGGACCCCTTTTCATCATTCTGTTTCATTCTATCTCTTCAGCCATTCTGCAGTATTTGTTTGTTCAACCTTTAACTTGATGCTCTTTCTGCTCATTGTCACCATAGTAGCTTCATATGGTCTGTTCCTGTTGTGACTCCATCCTGAGAGAAATATGTGCTGGGGTGCTGCCATCAAGGCTTAGATTAAAGTTGAAAGAGTTGTTTTTCAGTGTTCAGTTCTGTTTTTCTCTTATTCATAGCTATGGGCTCAGCATTTACTGTGACTAACTGGAGCTCTCTCGTTCTTCCTTTGACATGAAAACTGTCTAAGATCTTGTCTGTTTAATTCTTTCCGCCACCTTTGGAGCTAGTTTGCCCTTAGCTTTTCCAACATAGAAAGTATTCATAGATTAATGCTTCTATATTCCCTTTGTATGTCTGTTTCTGTCTCCTTGAACCCCAATCAGCCCCAGCAGAAGGGGCTGAGACTGGTTCTGCTGGAGGTTTCTTCCTGTTCAAAGTGAGTTTTCCTCTCCACTGTCACTGCATGCATGCTCTGTGAGGGACTGCCGTACAGTCAACAGCACAATGCAAGGGAATATCTGCAGTCTGAATTCCGCAAAGTCAATAACTGGATGCAATCAGCTGGTTTCCTTTGAACTAATCTGACTGAATGATCTGATTGGATTGTCTGTAAAGTGACCTGAGATGAAAGCTCTTAGAGTCTTTATTTTCCCAGAGGTCAGTGTTGTGGCTGCTCTGGTTGCTCCTGTTTACCTGGTTCTTCCACGTAATGTTAGCGGTGTAGGTTGGGTTCATGCAAACTGGAACCCCTGGAGACACAGGTGTGCAGGGCAGGAAGTGAGGATAGTGGTCATCCACATCCTCGACGTTGACGGTGAGTACTGTGGAGACTTTGAACTTCTCCACAGTGTTGGACTCCTGTGGACAGAATGACCGATGGGGTAATACCTCCAGCTTTGGACCTGTTTTGACCGGCTTACATCTCACCTTTACCTGGGCCCACAAAAGGATCTGCAGGCGTGTTCTACTCTCATAGTCTAGAGGTTTGTTCAGCACCACTTTCCCACTGTTAGGCAGGTCGATCCTGAAAAACCGTGCATCTTCCTGCAGGTACCAGAAATCTGGTGAAACAGCTTTTTTGTTTTGCAAATGGATCTTGAAATGGGCCAAAAGATGGCAGAGAACCTACTGAGGACTGGTCAATGATGTAGGTGATCATGTCTCCATCAGAGTCCTCAGCCTTCACGGTGAAAACCACAGAGTTCACTGCTGCAACCTGCAGAAAAAAATAAAATAAAAGGTATTCTCAGTACAGAACCATCAGCTGGACAAAGCAGATTCCTCTAGAATCTGCTCCATGTGATGATTCACCTCGCTGACGGTAAACGGTTGGATGGTTGCCTCCAAGAACTTTGGTTTGTTGTCGTTTTCATTCAGAATCTCCACCAGAATTCTGTATTGGCTCTGGAACAAGGTGACGTTGCTTTACTGGACTGACCGGTGACCCTGTTCTCTGCTGAGGACCGTGTTCTGTGGACTTACTTGTTTGATGTTGCCCTCATAACAGGTGAGCTCAGCGATCAGAAACGGCCCCAGAACCTGAGGATCATGCACGTCTGGAGTTAATCAAACAGGTTGGACTGTGTTCTAGCTTTGTCTGAGCTCTACCTCTCGGTCCAGAACTCTGGAAGCAGACGAGTTGAGTCTGATGGTCCGCCCCTCCAGGTAGAACCAGATGGCGTTTGGTCCGGTCAGGCACAGACGGACGGCGCTGGCTCCTGGTTCGGCTCTGATGCTGATGTTGGAGATGAAGTGACCAGCAGGGCTGTTCTCTCTTACCGACGCAAAGATGTTGGAGCCGCCCACACACAGACTGACTGAGGAAAAAACAGAACCAGCACCCCGTGGAGCGTACCAGAAACAACAACTGGCTGATTATTCAGAAAATGTTCTCACCTGTTCCAGCATGGCAGGATACTCTGAGAACCACCTGCCACAACAGCAGACAGAAGGGCCGTGACATCTCCCCCCCCACCTGGGAATGGAAAGATGGAAAGAACATCTGGATCCGAGCACATAAAGCTGCACCTCATTAAACAGGGAAGAACAAGTCAGAACCTCCAGAGAAGGATGGATGTCAGCTTGGAGCTCTGGGGCAAACAGGAATTAACTCTCTTCTGTTTTATCTAGAGTTAAAAAAAAAAGATAATCATATAATCACCACATTGCCCTCCTACGAGAGAGCAATCATCAAACCAGCAGAAGATTCATCGTCCTGTGATTGAGGGGAACGTCTCAGTCCAGTCCAAGGTCAGAGCGGGAGGCTCAGAGAAATGAACAGAAACCTCAGACTGTGGGACTCTACAGAACTGCATCTGGTAACAGGGTAAAGGAAAATCTCTCCTCTTTAGAAACAAGAAAAAATAATAATAATAAAAAAAAAACAAATCTGCTTCTGGATGAAGGACAAGATGTCTGGGCCAATCTCTCCTGGACAGAAGCAATGGCCTAGTCAAAGGCCCAGCCTCACCTGGACCCTGGTTCTGCTCTCCTCTCTTATAGGGCCTAGTTCTGTGCAGGTTGGAGAGATGAAACATGAAACTATCTGACAGGTAACAACTTTACCCTTGGGGGGGTGCAGTTGGAGGTCAAATCTGAGTCATGAATGTTCATGAGAACGTGAGTGAACTGGAAACAAGGCGGCCTTAAGGGTTAGACTAAAGCATAATTTCCTACGTCACCGTCTGATCAGGAGGTTGAGCTCGGTTCTGTTTGACCCCTTCAGGTTTGGTCCAAACCCAGTTAGACCCCTAACAGTTCTGACTGTCCGCTCTCCGGGTTTAGTGTTGACTCCAGAGGAGGCTTATGGCCGTAGGTCAGAACCTTTGCCGCTCGGGTCCAGCTGCTGCAGCTGAACAACGCTGCATGGAAACTCCCCTTAACATTCTGTAGCTTTCACATAAAGCCTTTGTTTGAAGGGATTTTACTCCAATAAATCCTTCCTGCAGAAGCTGCGTCACATTCCAGAAACCAAAAGCCCAAAAGGTCCGTACAGAATCCGATTCTCTGATTCCACTCTGCGATTAGGAAAGAACTTATTTCTGTTCTCCTGCAGGAAACAGAAAAAATCTGATTTCTTCTGATGATGTTTATGATCCAGTTTCAGTTTCAAATGTTTTTACCTTAGAGTAGCTGCTCCAATTGGGTATCATGCATCATTTTCACATTATTGTCATAAATTCCTCTAAATATAAGCTAAATATTAGCTTCAGTAAATGATCATAAATTATCCTAATGCAGTCCACCTTTATTAATGAGAATTTCCAATCTGCATTATTGCCCCCTGATGATTCCCTATAAGGCCACGACTTCCCCAGCTTGTTCATTCACAGAAATGGCTTTGAAGACAAAGAAGAAAAAGTTTGGGGACGGAGGTTCTGCTGACTGAGAGCTGAAGAGCAGAAATAAAGGACCAAGAAAAGCAAAGCAAGGAAATCAATCAAAGAACTGATGATGTGGTTGGACTGGTACAGAAGTAAAAATGAAATGATAATAAAAAAAAATCTTGATCTGAACCCAGTCAATGGAAACTATTGGTTGGGTACATGATGCAACATCTGATGTAAATGATTAATATCAGTTCACCATCAATCAACCAACAAATTTCTGCTAAACCTTTTAATTCACACACAAACCTCTACTATTCACCTCCAGACCACGTCTGCCATCCCTTCATCCACTCTCTATCTCTATCATAGAGCTAAAAATGTTAACGTTGGAACTAATCTGATGAATTCAGACCCAAACATCTTCATGTCTGACTCCTCCAACAGTCAGACATGAAGGTCTGACTGTTGGAGGAGCTTCAAGCAGCAACATGTTGCTGATCTTTCATCCATTGTCTATGGTGGCCGGGAGGTGCAAACCAACAGTACAAAATCTAAGACATTTTTACAAGTTCCAAAATAAATGGACATTTCAGAAAACAAATTTACATAAAAAATAAAAATAAACAAAACACTTTTAAAAATTCGAAATTCAAAATTTTGGAATTTAGTTCAAAAGTAAGTTTGGTTGTGGCCGGTTTGTCGGAAGCATCTTGCTAACCAGTTAGCAACTTAGTGCTAATAGGTTCCAATGGGAAATTCCATTGGGACCAAGTAGCACTAAATTGGTGACTTAGAAACGACACTGTGAAGGAACGCTATGGACAGAGGAAACATGCAAGAGGAGGAGAGTTTAGTGTCGGAGGTCATGGATGAGTCTCCTTTATCATTCATTGTTTTATTTAGAGGAGGAAAGACGTACATGTTTGAGCCCTTGCCTCTCAACGCTGCCAGTTCTGTTAGCTCTACGCCTGCTGAAGACACAGGCGTCCATCCCTGTGAACACTGAGATGGAACTCAATGGGAAAGGAAATGATTCTTATGTCGTGTATATTAGCTGCGACATATGAATCAAGATTCTATGACCGAAAACATTTGATTGACAGATGACTGTTGATATATGATTGGCCGTATTTAGGTGTTCAGGCAGACGTATAACTAACTGGCCCAAAAAACCCCCACAGATTTTAAGACAGGATTTTTTTTTTTATAGAAATGTTCTAAATTTTGGCACAATATCATCTGATAGGATAACATTCATATACATGTATGATTTGACATTTAAATATGACTTCCCTACGACTATAACTGTATTGAATGTTTCTTTGTCTCCACCTCGAACCCAATGACTCCTCATTCTGTTGATCCAAACTAGTCTGCTAGCAGAACCAGATCACTGGGGGAGATGCTGCAGTCCTGCCAGCGGCCTTCAGGGGAGCTAAACCTGGAAGATACAGGTTTGGCTAAAAGTGACACAGTGCTGCTTTAAACTGTTTACTGTGCATCTTTTCAGTGTTGTGTAAATTTTGCTGCCGGCACCCCTATGATCCACTAAATGGCCCCCAGACAGGGTGGTACCACCCCTGTTAGGAACCACTTTACCTGTTCCTGTTCTTTTTAACCCAGCCACAGGTTTTCTCCTGGGTTTAGTGGTGAGGAATGACCTCACTGTGGGGGAAGTATGGCTAAACATCTGAGGACATATGTTCCATTTTTTGGCTAAAGAACCTTTATTCTGAAGGTTATGGCATTTTAAATATTTCATGATGAAACATGGTCTTATAGGGATCAGCCCACAGCATCACCCTTCCTCCACCATACCTTGGTTTCACAGTAGATCCACTTGGTGATTCTGTCACCAAAAGCCTCTAATACGTCAAAATCTTCCAGCTGTTTACATTAATGAGAGTTGGGCAGGGAAGACCTTTTACAGCCTTTTACAGGGAACCGGATGTAGATGGTGTTGTCATGGTGATGTCAAAAACCTCACCCTTATTTATCCTCTCACCAGGTATAATCAAAGTTACATTTTATTCCAACAAAACACAGACCAAGTTTTAGCCAATCAGAGAGGAGATCCTGGACTAGGGAAAGTCTTCATTAAACTTACAGATGATGCATTGATAAGAAAACTGCTTCAGATACATTTAATCTAAACATCAACTATTAATTTTAACGTTGAATGAATGAGGCGTTAAAAGGCTTGTCTTTATCAGGTTAAAATAACCAGTTAACAAAATATTAAACACGTTAATAATTACTGCAATATTCCATCCTGCTGAAGAACACAGAGGACACTGCTCACCTCTCCCTCTGTCTCCTGCTGGGCTACAGGTGGCAGGTGTCTCTGAGCCTCGCTGGCTTCATCCACAGGTTTGTGTCTCCGTGTTTCCAATGCAGAAGAAACCACCCGCGTCCACAGAGTGAGTGAGGCAGCTTTAGAGAGCTTAGGTAGCATTAATGAGCCAGATAAGTAGGCCAGCAGGAGCCTTGGCTCCACCTGCTGCTGCAACTAGCAGCTGATTACCAGCTCAGCGCCGACTCCTTCATGCTGTCATTAAACACGTCCTGGAAGTGAAGTATTAGGGGAGGATTGTGGAGACTGGTGCTGCGGTCCTCCAGGATGGGGGGTTTGTGGACACTCTACATTTGTTGAATCTAGGAAAACATTCCTGCTCCATAGGGAGTATTGGCTCTAACTCTGAGCATATCACCATGGTAACAGACTCTTTTTGTTGTTTGTTTTTATCTCGTTCTGAAACTGCTTCTGAATTTTCCTCCACTACAGAAGAATGAAAAAGAAAACATTTGAAGTTGTAGGGAAGCTGCTGTTCCAACCGTTTTTACGAATTCCCCCGAGTGGTGCCCGACTTTACATGAGAGAATAAAGTGAATATGATTGGTTGTTTATCAAGGGGCGGGGTTGTTGTGGTCGAAGGTTTGCAAAAATTTTGGTTGTGGCCGGTTTGTTGGAAGCATCTTGCCAACCAGTTAGCAACTTAGTGCTAGCAAGTTCCCAATGGGAAATTCCATTGGGACCAAGTAGCACTAAATTGGTGACTTAGAAACGACACTGTCAAGGAACGCTATGGACAGAGGAAACATGCAAGAGGAGGAGAGTTTAGTGTCGGAGGTCATGGATGAGTCTCCTCCGTCATCAATTTCTTATTTAGAGGAGGAAAACGGGACGAAGATGTTGTGGAAGAGGACGCCAGGGCGGCAGAAGCTTGGTTTGGTGTAGAAGGCTTCCAGCCGTACATGTTTGAGCCCTTGCCTCTCAACGCTGCCAGTTCTGTTAGCTCTACGCCTGCTGAAGACACAGACGTCCATCCCCATGAACACTGGGACGGAACTCAATGGGAAAGGAAATTATTCCTTATTTCTTATTTCAACCTTTGCTGCGACATATGAATCAAGATGCTATGACCCAAAAAATTAGATTGACAGATGACCACTGATATATGATTGGCCGAATTTAGGTGTTCAGACTGACGTATAAGATAGATTAAGATAGATTTTTTATTTTTTTTTTATTTTGTGACAATATCGTCTGATAAAGAGTACATTTATATACATGTTTAAGCCAGAATGATTTGACATTTTAATATAACTTCGTGACGACTTTAAAACAGCAGGTCCACAATCAGCTGGAACACGATTCCATCTGAATGTTTGATTTCAAAATGCATCATCATGACATCTACGTAACTCAGAGGAGCCAATTTGCTCAGGTGTTCTAAATGGCACTGATCTGTGGCTCTTCTCAAAAAGTGCCGCAGCTTCATGTCTGTATACCTTTTTACAAACTGCTGCATTGAAAGAAGCACATCTGACTTCTTTCAGAACCAAACTCTGACCCTGTGACTGAGTAGTGGGTTTGTCTGGTTCTGATCACGTAGCTTCAGACAGGTTTAGAGCAGCATGATTTTCTGCATGCTGCGGAGTCCTGTAGGACATTTTAGATCCTTGTCTATCTTTGGAACCAAAGCACTGGTGCTAAAAACATCTGGACCTACATAGCTGGTTGGATTTCATGGAAAAAGCATTGACGTGGTTTGAAAAAACGCAGGAAAAACAACCTCCCAAATAATAACTAGAGAACTTCAGACTGAGCCTCAGTCTGAGACGGTTCTGTTTGGAGCAGCTTGCTTAAACCTTTACAGGGCAAGTTACCGTTTTTGATCACTTGCATACCCCTTAGAAATGCATTCCCCACTGCTACATGGCTGTACATCTTATTTTGGCATTTGACCAATTAGATTAACCTTTGAATTCTATATTACCTAATGTAAATTAAGTCGAAAAAATACGTTAACTCAAGAAAGAAAAGGTAAAAAGTAAAGTTAAAACGTTAATTAGCGTATTTAACAATTATATTTAGATTTATAAAATAAAAAATATAAGTGCCTCTAAGGCAGAGGTCACGGATTAGTGGATCGGGGACCAGATCCGGAGCCACCTGCTGGCTAATCCGGGCCCTACCTGATTTAAAACATTTATAAATTACCGCCTGTTGTCCGACGACAGTGTCTAAATATCACTTGCGCTGCTTCTCCTGTTAATATGGTAAAGCCCTCTGGAGCGTCCGGCACCATGGCTGCACATGATCCAAATGATCCAATGAGCTGCTGTCAGTCTGGGTTGCTGCTGCTGCTACTTTAAGCCGGACGATGGAAAAGAAGGAGAAGATGATGAGAAAAAGAGAGCAGAGAAAGTGTGGACTGCTGGAAGAACTGTGGTGAATTGGTGAAAGAAAAGTGAAATGGTGCTAAAAGATGACCCTGAACATTTAGAGGATGTTTGGCTCAACCTGCTGCTGTGAAGCAGGGTTCTCCACCATGAACAGAATCAAAAATAAATATGGATCCAGGCTCAAAATGAGCTCCTTGATACACTATATTGCCAAAAGTATTTGCTCACCTGCCTTGACTCACATATGAGCTTAAGTGACATCCCGTTCCTAATCCATAGGGTTCAATATGACGTCGGTCCACCCTTTGCAGCTAGAACAGCTTCAACTCTTCTGGGAAGGCTGTCCACAAGGTTTAGGAGTGTGTTTATGGGAATTTTTGACCATTCTTCCAGAAGCGCATTTGTGAGGTCGCACACTGATGTTGGACGAGAAGGCCTGGCTCTCAGTCTCCGCTCTAATTCATCCCAAAGGTGTTCTATCGGGTTGAGGTCAGGACTCTGTGCAGGCCAGTCAAGTTCATCCACACCAGACTCTGTCATCCATGTCTTTATGGACCTTGCTTTGTGCACTGGTGCACAGTCATGTTGGAAGAGGAAGGGGCCAGCTCCAAACTGTTCCCACAAAGTTGGGAGCATGGAATTGTCCAAAATGTCTTGGTATGCTGAAGCATTCAGAGTTCCTTTCACTGGAACTAAGGGGCCAAGCCCAGCTCCTGAAAAACAACCCCACACCATAATCCCCCCTCCACCAAACTTTACACTTGGCACAATGCAGTCAGACAAGTACCGTTCTCCTGGCAACCGCCAAACCCAGACCCGTCCATCAGATTGCCAGATGGAGAAGCGCGATTCGTCACTCCAGAGAACGCGTCTCCACTGCTCTAGAGTCCAGTGGCGGCGTGCTTTACACCACCGCATCCGACGCTTTGCATTGCACTTGGTGATGTATGGCTTGGATGCAGCTGCTCGACCATGGAAACCCATTCCATGAAGCTCTCTGCGCACTGTTCTTGAGCTAATCTGAAGGCCACATGAAGTTTGGAGGTCTGTAGTGATTGACTCTGCAGAAAGTTGGCGACCTCTTCGCACTATGCGCGTCAGCATCCGCTGACCCCGCTCCGTCAGTTTACGTGGCCTACCACTTCGTGGCTGAGTTGCTGTCGTTCCCAAACACTTCCATTTTCTTATAATACAGCTGACAGTTGACTGTGGAATATTTAGGAGCGAGGAAATTTCACGACTGGATTTGTTGCACAGGTGGCATCCTATCACAGTTCCACGCTGGAATTCACTGAGCTCCTGAGAGCGACCCATTCTTTCACAAATGTTTGTAAAAACAGTCTGCATGCCTAGGTGCTTGAATTTATACACCTGTGGCCATGGAAGTGATTGGAACACCTGATTCCAATAATTTGGATGGGTGAGCAAATACTTTTGGCAATATAGTGTATGTGCTTTAGAATGGCTTAGTCTCCATTCAAACCCAGGTTTAAAGCCTTGCAGGGCAGCATAAAGCCCACTGCCAACATTAAGACAGAAAAAAGAAAGAAAATAACAAATGGTCAGTTCAGGTGTTATAAAATATGTGATCATGAAATTGTCGATATGCAAAACTGAACAATTGTTGTTCTCTACTTCAAAAAACACTTTAGATTTTAAAATGGGAAAAATGTTATATATATTTTTTAATTCTATGTATAACATGGATACATAAAAACCTGATTTTCTTTCAGTGATAAATTCTCTTTTAAGTAACAGATTATAATTAAAAATGTCTCCGGACCTCTACTGTTTGATGATTTTCTTTATTCATATTTTTTGAATGTTACAAAGGTCCTATATTCCAGTAACATTACTGGCTTGAAATCTTGATTACAAAGAACTTCACTAAGTGCCCTATAAAGGGTTAAATTCAGATGTTATTTTCTGCATTTCAGCCGTAGATGCAAACGTTGAGTAAAACCTGTCTTGTAAAGCGGAGTCATCATTGGAGCGGAAACTACCTGCTGGACCCTCTCAGGTGTGAATCCTGTGATGAACCCGTCTCCTCTGTCTCACCTTGGCCTGTAATGTCCAACAGAGCCGACTCCTCCACCCTCCTCCCGTCGGTCGTCTCGTCTACTGATACTTAAAGGTTAATTTGTCCAGATGACATTTCGCTGTATGAGCTCAGTCTTTGTTCAGCGCTCTGACCTTTAGTCCTCCTCTGAGGACGGAGCCTCAGATTCTGCAGACGTCTGTTTCAGTCGCTTTGTTCTGCTGCTTACGGATCGGGACCAAGATCTTCCTCATGATCTGTTATTTCACCGAGGAACACAGTCTGAGAACGTTCTGCAGAAACTTTGAAAGAGAAGAAAAGCAAACATATTTTCAGCCCCCCTTGCTTCTGTAGGTCCAGAAGTTCAGTCGGTTCTTGCTCATTCTTTACTCTGGGCCTTTATTCCTCTATATTTCTGACTTTCTTCCTTCGTTCCTGGTTTAATCTATTCATCCCTGAGTAATCCTGGTCCGTTAATTCGTACGTGGAAGAAAAAACATGCCGTCTGCCCCTATGTTGTCAGGACTGGGACACCACAGGGCTGTGTTTTCAGTCCTTTCATCTTCACACAAAACAAGCATGGTGGTGAAGCTTAGTCTCATATCTTTCTGACACCGTGGGGCTCCAATAGCAAGCTCATCCTGACGTAGGTAAGAGTGGACACCTGGAGGACTTAACATGCTCTTGTCTGCATACAGATGGTGGAGTGGGTGAACAACATTTACATCTCCTTTCACCACCTGGACTGAGACCAAGTATTTTGGTACAAAATACGGCTCCTCGGTTAAGACAATTTAAAGTCATTCCAAAAAAAGTAAAAAACATCAATCCACGGGTCTTTGTTTCCAAGTTTAAAGATGTTTCGCTTTTTCAATTCGAAATGTCAAAAATAGCTTTGAGTTCAAGTCTTTTTTGAGTGGACCAAAGCAACGCATTGTTTTGGCTTAGAAACATGCAAATTGAACCTGACGAATGGGTCCACCCCTTTGGAATGGGGGTTGTTTTTTTTATTTGTTAGCCGGTGATACCCGAAACATTTCTATATCTCTGAAAAGGAACAGGCCAGGTCAACAATTCCCTTTAACTACCCCCCTTTCAGAGACATAGACAGGTTTTGGGTATTACAGGCTAAGAAAGAGACAAAAAAAAAACCCATTCCAAAGGAACGGACCCATTCGTCAGGTTCAGTTTGCATATTTCTAAGCCAAAATAAACGCTTTACTTTGGTCCACTCTATAAAGCCTTGAACTCAACGCTATTTCTGACATTTTAAATTGAAAAAGCTGCCTGAATGGGAAGCGACATGCCTTCAAACTTGGAAACAAAGTCCAGTAGATTATTTTTTTAGCTTTTTTGGAATGACTATGACCTGGATGACTGAGAATCTTCACCAGCACAAGACAGTTGAAAGTATTGGAGTTTTTGCTCATCTTCTCTCTAACCTCATGAGGACCAATGTATATCTCCATGTGAGACTCTGGTATTGGAGCTTGTGCGTTAGTTTTCTCGTTACCAACAGGGCCGCCTCCTGAGACCCAGCGGACAAGGAGCCATAAGCCAGTTTCATCCTTCTCTCCTATTGTTTTATTTGTCTGCATCCAGCTAGATTTCATGATTCACAGATTTGAAAGCTACAAATCTCAGCAGCTTTGTTAAACATTCCAATTTCTGTCTGATCTGTTTTCCTCATTTGTGTCTCAAGAACATTAACCAAAGTGAGAAGAACCAAACACATCTACACTGACATGTAAGCACTTTACCTCTAATCTAATCAGATATCATTAAACATCTGTCAGGTATTTGATGCCTCTGCTCTAAGAAACATACTAATGCGCTAAAATGAGAGACAGTCTGAGTATAGAGGAGTAAGACTTGATGAAGAAGACTTCCGGAGCTTTCCAGGGTCATGTCCGGCAGCAGAGCAGCTTGTGAAAGACGTTCCTGAACTCCGTGTTGAAGACTGTGTAGATGATGGGGTTAACGGCGCTGTTTACATAACCCAGCCATGTGACCACAGAAATGAGGGTGGGACCAATGTCACAGGAGCGGCACAACACCTTGGTGACGTGGACTGTGAAGAAGGGCGTCCAGCAGGCCAGGAAGACACCTGAAAGGCAGACTGGTGTCAGTTTTAGAAGGACAAACAAGCAACAGAAAGGAAGAAAAATGCCTGTAATCACGATTCTTTGTAGACCACCAGTCTGTTTTAGGAGGATTAGGTGTGATTTTTTTTATTCTCCTTGGTGTGAAACTGTTACTGAGGAATTGAAGCAGCTTCCATGGAGAAGCAGTTTCTATTTTTAATGAAGCCACAGCGTGACTGAGCTAGAGGAAAACCTGAAGGACATTTTGTGAAGAGAAGAAACTTCCTGCAGAGAGCGACTGATAAAACCTTAATTTATCTGATTAAACCTCAACTTATCTGATCAAACTTTAACTTGACTGATTTGCTTGAAACCAAGATTATTTTAGATTGATGCAGATGCAAAGAAATCTATTCTGTTGAAAACGTCAAAGGCCTTCCTCTCCGCAAATTAAAAAGAGACTGTTCACGTCAGTGGTGACTTTTCTAGCTAAAGAGAAGTTAATTATAACCAATAAAAGGAAATAGACGAACGGTGATCGGGGTTAGGGTTAATTATGTCTCATCGAGTGTCAGAGGTAGCCCTGTTCTTGTTCTGATACTCACCAACAACGACTGGTAGGACCCTCATGGCCTTGCGTTCCCTCCCACTGACCCTGCTGGTCTTGCTAGTCCTTCGTCCCCTCTTAATGGTGCTCCTTTTCCGGCCGTTCTCTCTACGGCTGCTTCCCTCCCTGGCCCCTGTGTTCTCGCCATTCGAGGCGCTGTCCATCTGAGTGGTCATTGGGTCGCTATCAGCTGCCATTGCTGTCCCGTCCTGGTTTCGCTCTGTAAGGGGGGCTGCACCAGGTGCTGTCGTGGGGAATGTGGACGGAGAGGTGGGGCTTAAAGGTGACACTGTGAATACAACCTTCCCTCCGCTGTCAGTACTTGCATCTTTTGCTCTACGCAGAGCTGAGCCTAGATGCAAAGAGAGACCTCTTCGACCAACCCGGTGAGACCGCAGCCGGCTACGACTGCTCCAACGCCGCAGACCGCGGAACATCCAGTAATAGAGGAAGAGCATGACAGGACAAGGCACGAAGAACGAGCAGATGGATGAGTACACCACAAAGCGATCATCCTCCAGTTTGCACACCGTTGGGTCCCGGTTTGGCACCTGGTTCAGACCAAAGATGACAGGACTCGCCACACCCAGGGACAGCACCCAGGTTGCAGTGATCAGGGCCAGTTGTCGAACACTGAACTGGTTTCGGTTATATCTCAGGGGCACCACCACTGCGATGTACCTGCAATGTAACCAGACACATTGGAGGTTTGTTCTTAGACTTAGGATGATGTGGTTCAAACCCATAAAATACAAAATCATTGCTGCCAAAGATTTTCTTTTTTAAGGGAAAAGTCCAGGTACTTTCAGAATAGAAACTTCTGAAAGTACTTTACGTATAAAATTATTACATAATTTTCAATAAATGATCAGTGTTTTTAATTAAGAGTAATTTCATTTGAATGTGCTTTACTGGAGACATCCATATTTGTCAAAGAACACTACTGCCACCTACCGGTTTGTGACGTCACGGTGCGGTATCGACTTTTGAGCAAGTCTCAATGCTGTATCTGGTGTTTGTCACAATATGCTATTATCCATGATGGTGACGACCAGTGCACTATGTGAGGCAGAGAGTAATGGATTAATGACGTGTTTTTTTAGAGCGGGGATCCAGGTGGAAAAAGGGTCCCAGCGTTCTCGCGTTACTATATTTGGGCAAAAATGGCCGCTCCCGGATTAGGTGATCGTGACGAAAACTCTTGTTTTTATTTTAGTTTTTTTCTGACTTATTCCTTGCTGACCGGACTTTTCCTTTAAAATTCCCTTCTTAATGTAATAAAATGTCCTTCAAGCTTAATGAACAGGTTCATATATTCTCTCTGCCTTTTATGTGTAGAAACATCTTCTCATTTGCAAAATGACAGCCTCTTCTCAGCAGTAAATATAGCCTGTCACCAACAGTACTAAAAATATATATCTGTAGTGTCAGTCGTGTTTGATTCACTGAAGTGTTTCATCAAATTTTCTTTACACCTAGGAAGTTGTTAATTGGGCTCTTTATCCCAGTCATACTGGAGACCAGGATGGAAATTGTTATCCCTACAATAGCTTCATCTCTAAAGAAACAGAATGACTAAGAAAATTGAATTTTTCTGCCTCTGGAACGATAAAGTGAGCCCTGAAGTAATTACTTCAGGGACATTAAGACTGGGACAGTTAAATGAATTTTCAATTCTTGTTTTAGAGAGTGGTGATGAAGTTTTAATCACAGTGAGATAATAATAATAATGTAAATGTGTTTGTTTCCATAGGGACTAGAAGTTTTAACGTTGATTGCTGCTGCCAGTGTGCTGCTAATGGAGGCGATCAGAAGCAGACATATATGTGTAGTGATGTCAGGCTGGAAGCAGCACCAAATACATTCAGTTCTAAACCAGAACCAGAAGACAGAAGCTGCTGTTATATTGGGTTTAGTTCAGGGTCAATACTGAGAGGCAGGTAGTATTTAGGATTTAATTTGGAGCACCAGAGTTAGGAACCTCTGGCGAGAGAGTCAGGTTTGTGGCCAGGCAGGAAGGATAAGTGTGATAAAAAAAAGGTACTAACCCTCTAAGAATTGTGTCACTGAGACAGGTTTTAAGGAACCCCTTGATTCAAAGAGGCAGTTTTATTCAGAAGCTTCAGAAGCATCTCCTACAGGAATCAATTTTCAGTTAACTCCTGAAAAAGAGTTCTGCCCAGCAGAAAGGGCAGAACTCTGTGGTCAACAGAAACTTGGTTCAAGCATTGGAATCAGAAACAAGTGACAGCAACAGGCTTGAATTGATAGTCTGCGCCCACAAACAATATAAAGCACAGGGAGGAGGATTCCGGCTGACAAATTCAGGGGAAAGGCAGGGGTTGGAAATCAAGATGCAAAAACAAGCAAAGTGTCCATGAGATCTGAGGATAGGTTAATATCTAACGTGGGAAAGGCAGAACAAGGTAGTTAAGGAGGTAGAAAGAAGTTTGAGTTCAGAAAGGCAGGAGATCAACGCTGGACATTTATTCACTAAGGGCTTTCAATAATCTGGCAAAGCTTGTCAGCCAAAGGGCAGTATATAAAGCCAGGATCACAGGTGAGACCAATAATGTGTGATTAGGGCGAAGGCACAAAAGATGCAGATGAAAAACATTATTAAACAAGTGGCATTGAGCGGCCCTCGCAGCTTGCACCACCTGGTATGTTGCGATCGCGGGAACCAAGCGACCTCCACCTCCACGCTGCTTCCCAGCCTATGCTCCTGCTCTTCAGCCTATGCCTGCTGCTGCTTCTCTCATCCTCCCCCTCCTTCTCGTTCTGCTGCTGCCACTGTTTCTTATCCTCC